CCCCAAAACCCCAAAACCCCAAAACCCCAAAACCCCAAAACCCCTGAAGCATTGGTAAGTATTGAAATAATAAAATAATTTACTTATGGAAATGTCAAGCACTAGTATTAACTCACAGCTCGATAATGTGAGTTCTAGTCGTTCTCAAAGAGAGCATGCAGGGTATCAGATCCTAACAAGTAGAAGATCTCAGAGAGCAACAAAGAGGATAATTGATGATACTTACTCTAGTATTGGTAGATGTCATCTTTGAGATATGGCTTACTCATCTTATCACCTCTACCAATGTCCTCAGAAGAGGTGTAAGGAGAACTTCTGATTCAAGTGCTTGAATAAATACCACTTCGGCCTCTCCAAGAAGCTGTTTGAAGTGAGTTGTCGCAAACCCAATCAGCCATGAATTATATGCTCCGGTAAATGTCTATGTCGACAATGAGAAACAAAAGCCATCTCAGATGACTTAGAGAAAATGAAAAATCTTGTCAAAATTTCATCAGCTCCATCTCAAAATATTAGTGATAGTAAGACAAATCTTGAAATTCTGGCTTTTTTAGGGCCTCATATTGATTAAAAAGTGTTCACATTACATTTTGGTTAAACAACATGAGTGATTAATTGATGGCGTTGCTGCTTTACGAAATCTATTAAATTTTAACACTGAAATAAATTTAGTGCTATCAAAGAATTTTAAATGTTGGCAACCTCAATGATCTTTTTTATTAGAATGAAGCACCTTCTATTATATTTGCTCTTAAGAGTTTAACAATTCATATAGGTAAAGCTGTGGTCTGTGGTAATGCAGGCTGTCCCCCAAACAGAAAGAATTTAAATGTAGAAGAAAGTGAAGAAATTACTGTCGACAGTCCAATGGTACCTGAAGATAACTCTAAACAAGTGTCGACAAAATTTAATGAAGTTGAGGGATCCAAAATAGTGCCTTACTCTATGTTTGATTTGGCATGGGCCCAACAGCAGATTAAGAAGAAGGATATTGAGAACCTTATTAAAGCTCAAATGAGCACGAGGTATCAAGGCCATGAATAGATCACAATTTTTCCGGAAAGAATAATTTCTAACACATTTTTTAATTAAACTCATAATCAGTACCACCAAGCTATCCAATAATTCAATATCGGATTTCCTTTATGGGGTTTTGGGGTTTTGGGGTTTTGGGGTTTTGGGGTTTTGGGGTTTTGGGG